GCATGCAACCTCCACGCTTTAAAAGGTTAAAACCCAGACCAGAGATAGAAGGTGAGTCCTGGTTCTGATCTTTACATCTCACCTGTATGTGATGAGATTCATCACTGACACTGAAACACATTCACACATCACATCTCTGACATTTGTTCACGTTTAACTCATAGAGAAGGTTTGTTAGTTATTATTTTATAAAGGAAGTGACCAGAAAGTGTATTTAAAGTGCATTAGTCACATCTTGCAGTTATCTAAAACTCTATTTCAATAACATCTGACAAATTCAATGCAGTTTAATAACCCACTGATACAAGTACTAAACAGTCCTGTAATGTCTCCTACTTTGATTAAAGTTGTTCTTAGTTCTAGAGGTGTGTGTTCAAGTTTATGATAATTTTGGAGACTATTGAATGTTTTATTTTAATTACTCTACGACCTTTCTGGTATTAATTCTACCCACAGCAATATAAAATTATGTCTTTATTTTTGGCAATAAAGCGTTTTTTAAATGGCAAGTTATAATTGCTGTAATTTGATGATACATTTTCTCTTTGGGCAGCGTGATAAGGATGTATAGGATTCCTATAATGTTTAACACATTTTTAAAAATATCATTTTAATTTATTTTTACTGAGGAAAAACTGCACGTATATGACAATTGCTTTTCTTTTGGATACTTTCTGTAGCTTAACAGATTTTATCTATCTAATCTCTATTCAGTTTGTATGTATTTTAATTTACATGTAAATACTGTAGTGTGGTTTATGTGATGTGGCTGCTGTAACACTGCAGCTTTCCTTTGGTTTCAACAAAATAATCAATTTGTTTATCAAAGCGACATAAAGAAGAAATGAAGTTTGGAAGATTTTTTTAAACACTGAGAGGTGCAGTTTAGGCTCCTTTGCTTTTCTTCTCTTTGACACACTGAGGTCCACATTTACAATCAGAGCAGAATGAACAAGAAACATTTGACTGTTTTGAATGTTGTAATTGTTTCATATAAACTGATGTTTGTATTCGCAGGTGCAACTCCAGAGCATTATGTCACAATACTTGAGGAAACTAAGGACTGGTCGCTGCTGCAGTGTATCGTTCGAGGAGCTTCTCCAAAACCTGAAGTTGTTTGGACGGACGGTGATGGAAAAATTCTTCCTGCTGATGATGGAAAGGTCACAGAAAAAGGAAGAAACAAATACGACACTGTCCTCAATATTACTGTGACCAAGACTGACCGCTACACCTGTGTGGCCACACAGAAAGAAATCAACCATCAGAACAGTCGTACAATCTTTTTGCATTTCGATGGTGAGTAGTATTTTCAAATAACTGTATTGATTCATGTTTCACTAATGTTCAAAAATGTGAGTTTGTGCTCAGACTGAACAAACAATTCACTGAAAATGAGGTTAAAAATTCACTGTGTTCAGTCTGAATTCAGCTCATTAATTATTTTCTTTGGGATTATTCTGGACTTTATGATCTGAACATACATGATGCACAGTTACAGTCTGATGACGTTCTGAGTTTCAGAGAAAACATCTGGAATCGTTGAATAAGAACCTTCATCCAGTTAAAACATTGTTCTGATCACTGATCAGCTTTTTAACTCAGTCTGCAGTGTTTCACAGTTTTTATTTATGGTTCTGCTGCAGCAGCAGCTGTGTTGCTTTCAGCCTGAATTATATTGAAACTCCTCATGTTTGTTTTCTGATGATAGTTTGTTGTTCTTGTCAGAAACCTGCGGCTCTAAACCTGTTCATGTTTGGTCATCTGTTGGCAGCTCGTCCTCTTTAACATGAACAAGCTCAGAGCAGGTTTCTGAGCTCTGGTTAGACGACTGAGTTGATGAGCAGCTTGATGTGATTGTGGTTGTTTAGTTGAGTGAANTTATCCAGATCAGAACTTTATTTAAATTACATCTGCTAAATTCAATTCAGTTTATTAAACCAACTGATATAAAAACAGTCTCATAACATCTCATCCATTGATTGATGTTCTTATGTTTAGTTTTAGAGGTTAGTGTTCAAGGTCATTTTGGAGACTGTAGTTTGTTGAATATTTTTACTAATTACTGTACAGCCTTTCTCATATTTATTTCTACAGACACCGAGAAAACATATTGTTCTTTTATTTGAATTAAGAAAATCACAATCTTCCTGTTGTTGGTTAGCGAGTTGGCAATGCATTGAAATACATTAGCATTTTGGCAGCATCATAAAATAGTTGGATTTAGTTTATGAGTGTGTGTACACCTCTGAGTACCATTGTTTGTATGTTATAATGTAAATGTAATGTTTTGTTTTGGTAAAACACTGCACAGATAAAGAATCATTACCTTTCTTTTTAGGCCCCTTTTGCAGCTTATCACATCTTACCTATCAATTTAGTTTGTATTAATTTTATTTATTTTATAATATTATTTTACTTTAAATGGTTTTTGTTTGTGATATATGTAAACTGACTGCTGATACATTGCAGTTGTTTTTTTTATTAGTAATTAATCTATTTCTTCATCTGATCTTTGAACTTTGTTCACTGCATAAATGTCTTTATATGCGTCAGAATTACTGTTTGCATCAACAACTTTTAGAACAAAATTTTGTCAAACAGCACTGAGTTGCAGTTTAAGTTATACTTTGTTTCAACACATTCTGATCCACATTTTCAATCAGAATAGGATGAGCAAGGAACATGTGAGTGTTATGAATGTTGTAATTGTCTCATATAAAATGATGTTTGTATTTACAGGTGCAGCTCCAAAGCCATCAGTCACAAACCTTGATCAAACTAAGGACTCAGCGCTGCTTCAGTGTGAAGTTCTGGGTGCTTTTCCAAAACCTGAAGTTGTCTGGACGGACAGTGATGGAAAGATCCTTCCAGCTTATGAACCAAAGGTTACAGAAAGAGAAAAAAAGAAATATGACGTTGTCCTCCATATTGCTGTGACCAAGACTGACAACTACACCTGTGTGGCCACACAGGACAGTATTCACCATCAGAACAGTCGTACAATCTTTGTGCATTTGAACGGTGAGTAGTATTTTCAAATAATTGTATTTGTTCATGTGTCACTAAAGTTCAAAAATGTGAATTTGTGATCAGACTGAACAAACATTTGACTAGAAATGAGGCAAAAATTCAGTTTCAGTCTGAACTCAGCTCATTAATTATTTTCTTTGGGATTATTCTGGACTTTATGATCTGAACATACATGATGCACAGTTACAGTCTGATGACGTTCTGAGTTTCANCCACTGGAGCTGATTGTTCAAAAAAGAATGCTGCACAAGATGATGCAGATGATGGAGGATTCTTCTCACCCTCTCCACAACACAGTGAAGAACCAACAGAGTGTGTTTAGTGGGAGGCTGCGTCAGCTTCGCTGTCGAACGGAGAGATACAGGAATTCATTCCTGCCAACAGCCATCACCTTAAAAAACAAATCTGAGTGACTGACTGTTATTATTGTATATATATGTTATATTGATAAAAATAAAATAAAAAAAGTGAGCTTTTTTGCAATATTGAATTTCCCTTCTGGGATAAATAAAGTATTTTTCATTTCATTTTCATTCATTTTCATTTCATTTCATATTTATTAGGTAAGCCTTGCTAGTACTGGGTTGGACTACCTTTTACATTCAGAACTGCTTTTATTTTTCATGGTATAGATTCAACAAGGTGCTGGACAACTGGTACCTGCCTGTTGCTTCAGAAATCCCCTGAGACAACCAGAACCTCCTTGACTGCCTGAGTCCAACGATAAGTTTTTAGGATGACATCATGACAAGCACCAGTGACGTTCTGGCCACAGCTCCTAATAGTCGCTTCTGCAATGGAGGCTTTAAACAGCTAAAGTCAAATGTTTAAATGAAAAATTAAAGTCAGGGACAGTTTTTTGTCCTCCTCATGTCCCCTCTGATGATGACTGTGTTGTCTAGATGGAGTTTCTGACAGTGTTTGTTGTAACTTCCATCTGCAGCACTGTGCAGGTTGTTTGCAGTCACCAGCAGGTGGCGTCAGAGTCTCTCTACTGCAGCCTCACAGGGACCAGTCCATCCTGATGCTGCTGACCTTGAACTTCTACTTTTTACTGTCGGGTATGTCTGATATTCACAGTGTGACATGTTTGATCTTTCTGCATGACTGAAGGAGATTTGTGGTCTCACCGGTTCTTTAGCAGCTCTGCTGCTGCTCAGCGTCTTTGTTCTGATCTAAAGTTCACAATTGTCTAGCACTCTGGTTGACACCCTTCTTTGCTGAAGGCGCTGCTTCAGAAGACTGACTTCATGTTCTGGGCTGTCCTCCATGAAGTTGCCTCTCCTGCAGTCTTTGAAACTGGTGTCTGGCTGCATGTCATTCTGAAGGTCTTTCTTTGGGCATCGCACAGCTGGCTTTGCCTGGAGGATAGTGTCCTGCTGTATGGCAGTGGTGTCATTGGGCACAGAGGTGATCCAAACTCATTTCAACTGATGGTTTCAGTTCTCTTTTTTATCATGTCCATCTCCTTCATGTCTGTCTGATGTTCTAGTTTGACATCCTGGAGTTGGTCTTGGCACTGGCTCAGCTCTTTTCTGAGGTCGTTTGCTTGATTCTGGACTTCTTCTAGGTTGACCTCTGTGGTGGCTCCAGCTAGAAGTCTTTCAGCTTTGCTTAGCTGTAAATGGTAAATGGTCTGCACGTATATAGGGCAGTGTTTTCTCCTTCACCCATTCACACACACATTCATACACCAGTGGTGACAGATGGCCATGCAAGGCGCTTGCCTGCCATTGGGAGCAACTTTGGGTTCAGTGTCTTGCCCAAGGACACTTTGGGGATTGAACTGCCAACCTTGCAATCAGAGGACTCCACCATCTGAACCACAGCCGTTGTCCTGTGAGGTCCTCTGTGGCTGCTTTTGCCCACTGGTTTGCCTCATTCTGGAGATCAGCAAGGGCTTTCTGCAGTCCTACAGTTTCATCTTCATTTCTTCTTTGTCACACCTCTGTTGGGCGTTCTGCTGGATTTCCATTTCTGGGTTTGCAACAGGTCTTGCTGGTTTGAAAACATCAGCTGCTGGACTTGGGTATCCTGCTGGGCCAAGGTTTTCACCTTTTGTTCCAGGTGAGCCATGTCAAGTTTGAGTTGGGCCAGGAGGTTATTATGTGTGAGGCTGCCAAATTGTTTCGTCAGTCCTTTTTCGCTGATGGAAAGCTGGTCTTGCTTCTGTGCCTTCAGCTTGTCGGTCTGGGCAGGTGGTAGGTCATGTGCTCAGAAGTTCAGCCATGTTTCTAAGTCTTCCCGGTGGTTGGAGGAGTTTTCTCTGCTCGTCATGTTGACTGGTTGTGTTGTTACACTCGTTAACATCGTTAATAAAATTCCCAGTACCTCACTGTTTGGTGTGGACTGTGGATTTCTCTAACAGGGTTGACACTCCACACCTAAAGGGTAGTTTTATGTGAACTTAAATGGTAACCCATTTTGTTTCTTTAATGTGTGTTTAACTATTTGCACTTCAGAAGAGGGATACGTGTATGCTCATGAAGTGTTCAATGTCTAAAAGGATCAGATAAAGAAAGAAATCTATGGGGAAGAGAAAATGAAAAAAATATTAACAGGAAGAAAACAAACTAATTTTAAAAATGAAATAAAAAAATAGAAAAAAGTTAATGCAAATTTTTTGTTAATCTTGTATTTTCTACCACCACAGTTGACTTATTGCTTTACAGGTTTCGTGAAAAACCGACCAAGGATAAATGATTTAGGTTAATGCTGGGTGTAATTATTGTTAAGAGTAGGTTAGCATAAAGTAATGTTAGTAAATGACAATGTTTTGCCTCTTATTGTATGTGTTATGTCGGTTGGGCTGTAGTTGTATGAACAACAGAGCTGGTACAGGTCTACTGAGAGGAACAACTTAAATTATTCAGGTAGTTTCTCTGCTTGGAGTGATCTTTAAAGAGGCTATTACTGAAACATTTAAATGCTTTCAGGAGGCTCCGTGGGTGAGGTCAGTCTTACCGGTTCGATCCCTCCTCAGTAGCCCTGAAAGGCTCAAATCCACAGTCACCACTCTGACCAATGTCTAGTTTAAGATACCCTGTATGGACAAAGGGACCAATATGCAACAGCTAAGTGTCCAGATTAACACAACTCCACCAACCAACTGAAATGTCCAGTTTGTTGCGTCACCCAGCAGGATTGAGTGTCACGCCAAAGGGTGGTTTCTGTGGACTCACAACTTCCACGAGCAGCAAGCACGACTGATAGGCAGCTAATCTATTGTTTAAAGCGCAGGTGATTGAGACTAGAGACTCGTAGTAACAATAAAAACTGGCTGAATAATGAGATCTCTAGTACTTAGGAAATGAGGAGCATCGCCCTGATCTGTCCTAGCTCATACTGTACTGAGAAACTTGTCAAATACAGACAATTGCTGCAGTTTATTATTTTTAATTTGGTTAAGGCTTTGTTTCTTTATTACTCACCCACAAGGGAAAAGACCCAAATGTCTGGATCTGAATTAAAACTGTCCACTACGCCGTGACCATGAAACAAACAAGCAACTGCACACAGTTTTATTTTTGTTCACAAATCAGTTTAAATGTATGCCCACATTCTCCACCAGCAATATGTGTACGCTCAAATGGGGTTTGAATGCTTATGCTGAATTATTAGGTAATCCAAGTGATACTCGACAAGCGAGATATTTAGATCAGATTAACAATGCAGCATATGAAGCACTTCTTGTTGTACTGTCAAGAAGAGTCTCAATAATTGTCAGAGAACTTGTTTAAGTTGAAATTTATTAATAAAAGCAAGGTGGCAGGAATCTATACAAGCCAGGGACAGAACTGTAAACAACAAAGCAGTGGAGACGTTTATTAAACCAACAACATTTATTCAACTAACAACACAATAACAACTACTAATAACTATGACACAACAATAACACGCATTAAGACAACAACACAAAACAATGTTGGGAAAGAGGGTCGAAAGAAAACACACGATTATGACCTTATATTAGGGATCAATATTACAGTGTCATACGGTGATCTGAGAGGAAGGGATGAATAGACCACACCTGAAAGCAGCTGATGATTTGATGGTTTGCTAGTTGGACTTTATGTTTGGTAATCAAAGAGAATTGAGAGACTTGCACCAAGTTCCAGTGACTGAAAGTTACTTATGTGCACATGGTGATGTTCTGCTGATGGATGGTCTGGTCGGCCTGCTGGTGTTGGTCAGAACAGCGATGGACAGAATGGAGCTTCTTAATTATAAAGATTCTGACCCCCACTTCCTGCAGGGTCAGAAGTCGGTCAGAGTGTTTCTGGCAGCTGTTTGGTTGTTTGAAGGTCTCGTAGTGACTGGGTTTGAGTCACTTGGCTAAGATAGACCCAGTATACATCCTGGATGTCTGGAGGTGTGTCGTAGGATTCTCTGAAGGTCTGTTTGTTTGAAAATGACTAAATAAATATTGTATAAATACTGTAATTTTACAGTCAAATGCTGCAACTGGTTTATTTTTTTATTTTATTTTGTGCCATTTTACTTTTATAAGTAATCTAACTAACCAGGGAAAATTAGCAAAATTACAGTAAACTGTTCAAGAAATTACAGTTAAAACCTGTCAACAAAAAATGCTTTTTTTTTTTTTTTTGCAGTGAGTCAGCAAAGTGATCCAGTGTGGAGATTCTGAGCCTCCAACTCTGATCAGAACTTAGTCAGTTTATCAGACACACAGTTGAGGTGAAATGATGCCTCTGATCTGCAGAGTTTGTGCAGAAATGTTGGTGAGTGTTGAAGCAATGAGGAAGCAGTGATGAAGGACTGATGGAGGGATGAAGGAGGCAAGAATCAATGAGGAAGCATTAAGGAAGCAGTGATGAAGGTGTGGCTGCTGCTGTTTACCAACGCTGTGAGCTCTGATGCTGCTGAATCCTCGGAGGACTCGGACCAACATGAAGCTCCTTCAGCTCGTCTCTTTCTTCCTGCTCACTCTGAGCGGACAAACCGGTAAGAAAAGTGAGCGTGTGCTGCTTGAATCAGAGGATGTGAGAGACTAGTTGGGCTGCTGCTTTAGTGTCTGCTGACCTGCAGCAGCTGCA